TACCTCTTGTTGATTCAAAGTTATGTCCCGGACAGGAAAAGCTGACGGACGGAAGGAGTGACGGACAAAGCGGCAACTATATGCTCACACTTCGAGGAGCATAAAAAATTGAAACAGCTAACAGAAGGAAACATAACTCCGTTCTCATACATAAAACTCTATTCAAGTTACAGTAAACTGCAAAAAATGATACAAGACACTTATCCCATTTATTACAAAAAAAAGGATATCACAATCTAAGTTCTGTTACAATAATACTAATGGTAAAGATCAATGATATCTGTAAGTCAACATAAACTATTCTTAGAAAAAAAAGAAATGTGTTTGATCTCAGGGATTTCTATCGTGAACTAAATAGGTCAAGAAACGATAAAGTTATGGTGGAATTCAATAAAAACTATGATGAGTATAAGTGAATATGAACCATAACAGTTCATGGAGAATACTCAATTTTTGTAAATGTGATAAATAAATATTATTGAAGATCATGTTCATCTTTAGCTCAAGGCTATATGTTCATTGTTAAGGTATTAGCACCCTAATGCATTACCTCCGCTTTGAAGAGTATTCAAATAGGCTAGAACTACTGTTAACTACATTGAAAATGAGGGCCATGGGTTCAATCCCCATAAGGGTCAACTTTTTTTTTCTTTCTTTTTTTTTTTAACATTATTTATGTATCTCTCATGTTCAATTTGGAAAGAAAAAAGTGTTTAATTTTGATTTTTTAATTTATATAGGTATTTATTGGCTAAATTGTGCTAAATTTAGTAATAAATATGGTACCTGATATTTTCAAAGTGTAATATAATCAAAACTAGACGGTAAAAGTATTTCATATTTTACAAGATCAACCAATATACTATTTTAAAATTTTAGAGACACTTTGAAAACAGGCACCCATTTGGGTAAATTTTAAGAATTTTTTAAATTAGGCTCCCTAAGTAGAAAATTGGTCAGACACGTGGTAAAAATGGGCGGTGTAGGGTAACATTTTTATACAGATTTCATAAATTTTAAGTAGAACCCCTAATTTTGCTTATTTGGATTGTTAGCTGAATGGTACTATTTGTTTCTTACCAAAAATTAATGGGAAAACATTTTTCATTAGAATGTTATTGCAGATTATTTAAAGGTTCCTACTTTCTAAAAAAGGGCCCTCATAACATCCTAGCTTGAGTTCAGAATAGTGGCCATAACTTTATTTCCGTACGGTAAACTTTGTTTAAATTTTGCATACAGGTGTACTTTAAGGTAAACATCTGACTTATGATGTCAATCTTTTAGTTCCTGATAGTGCCTATTAGGGTCCTAATACCTTAAAGTAAATATTTAGAGTAGTCAAAAATTTTACGTGTGAATTCAGACTAAAAGCTTGTTTTTCTCAAGAAATGTTGAGTTTAATCAAATTAATGGCAAAAGCCTAAAAATGAAAAGTTCGAAAGGAAATCCTTACCATTAGGATGGTTATGTGTGCATATTAATCAAATGATAATGTAACATAAGCTTATGTTTAAATACTTATAATAAAGTGGTGCAAAAAGTTGAATTGAAAATGCAACTCACAATACATCATGCTAAGATACGCTATTCACGGATGATATGCTAAGAATTATTCTGAAGAAATAAAATGGAAATATAGAGCCCCCTTGTACTTTTGTAATGGCATCTTAATTTATGAAGCTTTTTCATGTCTTCATGTCGAAAGAACTTTTCAAAACCTAAAAAATACACACCAAACGATATAAAGTAAAACTGAAACAGGTAAATCTTATCTACATTGAAAAAAGATATCAAATGAATAATCATATCATGTTTTTTAAAAAAACACATCATACACAGTTTGTAAACCTGTAAAATAAAGTCATTCTTAATATGAAAATCTAACAAAATTAATAGTTAAACATTAAGTGCATTTCTAACAAATTTCCCTTCTATACAAGAAATACCAAGCCAAGGCTGATAAATGTACGATTGATGTTCTTGTAAGATGAAATAAAACATCAAAAAAAAAAAGTTAACATAATAATTATTTTTAAATGTTTTGATAAATTTGAAGAAAATATCATATCGTTTCTTTATCCGTCAGTTATAGCCAAAACATACATGCACATTAACTTGAAATTAAGACCAGAACAATGAACTTAGAACTAAGATATACATTCATGCAAAATGCCTTTTTCGTTTAATGTGCCACGGTAGTATGACGCTATCGATGCGGGCGCGTCGTTGCTCCTTGATACCCGTTGATCGCTCCGTTGATGCAGAATCCATATGTCTTTAACATTTCGTAACCATTTATATGCCACACAAAGTAGAACCTATCGATAGATATCTTCGCCGAGATAAACGGTGTACTTTGTGTTCATTAGTTCCTTCGGAATAACTGTTTGTGGCATAAGCCTAAACACAGAATCTTTAGACATTGCAACCTGTTGTCAGTTTCCAATTTGTGTTATATATTGACCAAAACCTACACACTTGGCACTCCTCTGGATTTCTACAATAATGTACCTCGTCCTTAGGTGTACATGTTTTCCGTTGGACAAGATTGTAATTTTTCAGTATAAGTTTAATATCATTGGAAAGTAATTTTAATCAGTTCTAGTCCTGTTAAATGCGCCCGTCTAGAAACTAAATCTCCATGTTATTGTAGACACCACCTTTTTCGCCAGGAAAAGTATGCAGTTGATAAAATAATCAAATTACTTTTGTATACATTACAAAACCAACAAAACTTGCAGTTATACAATTTTAAAAACTGTTCCAAATTTGACAGTTGGGGAATTACACAAAGACAGGTATCATATGCCAGTTTTCCTCATCATAGGTCCTTTTTGTTGTAAGGTTTGGCCAAAATTGCTACAATGGTAGCTTTACGGAACCTCTAGTTATCAGAACTTAGACCTTAGTTCTAATTCTAAGATCTAACATCTACGTTTGAATTGTTACCTTCTAACTTCCAACTCAAAACGGCCTCAATGGGTTTCCTTTTAAGGATTGCAATAAGGCATTGTGTACTTTCAAATAGTGTTGATCGATTAGTTATGTTGAAGTTTTAAATTATATAAGGTGCTAATATATCCTCACCTGAACCCCCATTTCTTTCTTTAAAACATTAAAAATGTCTTTTGCTATTTTATCTCTGTCAAATAATTAGTATAACTAAATGTCTGTTAATAGTGCATTTTCTTTTCAGGACTTTACAACCGGAACATTTATATTGTCCAGTATTATTTTGTTGACCCCTTATGTATTTTATTGAAACCTGAGTGAATGAAGATATTTAAATTTGAATTTGATACAGAAATCTTTTAAGTAGTTTTTTATATGAACCATTTCAAGTCAAATAATTATAAATTCACTTTTTTAAAACAATTATGTAAAGGATTTTTAAGGCCGATGTTGTCGCAAAGGAGTTCTTAAAATCATCTTTATTGGAATCTTGGCCATATCTATAGAGGCATGTTTTGTTTTTTGTTCAAAGCTATTTATTGTTTTTTTTAATTCTTTAGCGTCAGCAAACCTAGAATTTTCTATTAACTTCATTTCTATATGGTGCGATGACATTTTGCTCTACGCAGATTGCGCATGCGCATGAAAATGCTATATCAGGTCGAATTTTCAAAGCAACGGACCGCATTGTAAAAAGGTCTATAGAGTATTAAAAATATCAAATACAAACAATAAATTCCTACTCTCACAGAAAACTATCCAACAGATTTAAATTTTAAAAATGGAGAGAAATATTGAATCCATACGCACAAAACGACAAAATTGAAAATGTTGCAGGCACGGTTTGATAAAGTCTGTTCGTGGACGGTAATGGAAACATGATTGTATTGAAATTGTTCTATTTTCCTTTTTTGTTACATATGTCTGCAAATTAGTATGCTTTCAGAAACCTGTACATTTTACTTAACACAGTTGTATATACACATATATCATGAGAAGACTGCCTAAGAGGCAACTTGAATAGAAATCGTTAATTACTGTTAAATACTCTAGGTATATCAAAGGCTTAGTTATGTTACCGAAATATTCGCAGAAATAATAAGAAAAATATAACAAAATAAAATATTCCTATTTCCATTAATAAAGAATATATTCTTTTATCTGCATTCAAAATATAGTTTTGTTAATATTTGTTTGACAGTTCTCCAGAATTTGATTTTATTAGACGCTGCGTGCACGCGGCGTCTAATAGATATTCATTCGTTCAGTCAGCAATGGGGAAAATTTTAGTATTGTTTTTGTTTATTTTTTTTGTTCTAACAAAATTAAACAGTTTTCAGAATTTCGGATAAAAATAGCTTTTCTGATGATCAACATATACCCGAGCGTCATGGAATTAAATAAAGTTTAACAAAAGTAATACTTACATGTTTAAATATAACATTCTTTTGTATCATTTACCAATAAAATAACGTGCCAATGAGCCAGTCTATATTCTAAAGCAGAAAAGTACCGTGTGGAATATCCTCGGCTTTTATCAATATCAACAGAAAGGGCCGAAAGTTGCGGTTGAGGAAATTAGGGTATAATCAGCGTAATTCGTTTATTTACCGTAATGCATTTTCAATCGAGTGATGCCTCCTTATATTTAGGAGTCATTGTATCAACGATATATAGAACATGTTGTACAACAAACACGGGTAATTGTAACTTGCATTTTAAAAATAATAAAAAGATGTTGAAAAGAAAATTTTAAATATAGTGTACAAACATTTAATTATGCGTCGGTCAGTCGGGGAGTATTTCTTGACAATGTAGACTAGGTGGATTTTGGTAATTATTTTAACCTTATGGATTATTTTGTGGCGTCTTTGATGTGCAGCATCAACATTTAACTTGTTATCTACCAAAAGGCATGAAATGCAGTTACTCATGATTTTCTATTGATTCTGTAAGATAATACTCTTTACAGTCTTTATAGAAGTTTAATCAGTAAGCAATATATACCATATAACATATTTTATAATAAGGAGTTTTGATTCTAGGTTTCATTTGATAGAAAAAGTCTGTTTGACAAAGGCAGCAATATCAATAGAGGAACACAACACCAGAGTTTTACAGAGCCTTGGTGAAGGAGATTTAGTGGAGATCGATAGGGGATTTTACTCACACTGGGCGGTGTATGCTGGTATTGAATTATGTCTTTCATTTTATTTCTTTGTACATTCATTTTGTTTCTGGAGCTGAAAATGAGCGCTTAAATATATGTCTTCGTTCAAAATGTCTTACCAGAAATGAAACGGTTGCATTCACATTATTGAATGTATTATACAACCAGGCCGCAAGCCAATACACAAATTGCAAAATATTATTAATATTACCATCATGCGAAGGGATAACATGATATGTATATTTAGTGTCAACTTATACTAATAAAAATAACAAAATTTAAGACAAAGACCATAATTCATCAAATTAGAAATTAAATTTAGATTGTTTTTTTATTCTCAAATAAGATAATAACATGCTATTTTGAAATACATTGCAAGGTTTGTAATGTAAGATGACAAAGAGGTGACACTTGCATTATTCATTATCTTGAGGTCAAATAAATAGAGAAAATAAGAATCCCTCAGACTTATTATCTTGAGATTTTAGATATAATATTACGGGTAAAACTTATTTTCTTAAAGCCTCAAGATATTATCGTTTGGCCACAACTTATTATCTTGTGGCCTAGACTTATTGACTTGTAGCCTCAGCTTATTATCTTGATTCCTCAAGATATTATCTTGTGACCTCAAGATATTACCCTGAGGCCACAACTAATTACATTTGTGTACCTTGAGGCATCAACATATTATTTTGCAGTCACGAACAACATATGGTGTCGTAACACACGACTTACTATTTTGTGCCCACAATTTACGATCTAGAGGCAACGTTTCAGTATTTTGTGGCCACGAATTATTTCCTTCAGACCACGACTTATTTTAACCAATAACAAATTTTCGTTTCATCTTCAACGTTAAGAAAGTTATATACATATATGTTATTTTTTTCTGTATACCGAATAATTATCAAAATAAATAACATTATTCATATCATAAACGTGACAAAGAGATACATTTATATATGACATATTTGTCTAGTCTTTATTAAGAAAAAAAGAAGATTTCTCTTAATGAACACCAATTTATGACAAAAATTATTGCGTTCGTTCTTTTTTTTTTGGCAATTATTTCAGTGACATACGTTTATGACAAAGAATTTCACATTCATCGCTTCATTCTTCAAATATGATTTTAACCATTATTTTAACATTATAAAATTTAAAAAAAAAAGGAAAAAATATTTGAGACATGATGTGCCTTTAATTAGATACTTAAACATGTTAAATAATAATGAAAGAAACACCTGATCGTACAAGAAAGAATAAAAAAGTACAATGATAGAAATGTAACACTAACTGTGTGACGACTGCTTAACCCCCACAGCATGTGACCTAGCGCTTCTGTTAAAGCAATGGCCAGTGTAATATTAAATGTCGTTGAAAATAAAACGACCATTTACTTTGGCTAATATAAGTATTGGCCCCAAGATAATAAGTTATGGCCACACGATTATTAGTTGTGACAACAAGTTGATAAGTTGATAAGTTTTGGCCACAAAATATAATATGACATTGAGGCCACAGGATAATAAGTTTGTAGCAACAAGATGATATGTTTGGCCACAAGATAATAAGCTGTAGCTACTGGTAGGAGACCTGCAAAACCAGACAACCACCAAACCCGGACAAACCCCAAAAAAACATATTTTTTGTGTATAGTGGTTGTTGATATATCAGTCGCTTTTATATCCACAAAAACTGCATGTTTGCTCTACGAGTATAAATAAGTAATTCAATTTAATTCAATTATCGTAAACGGTAATATTTTAATGTCATTTTCAAGAATGTTGACATTGAAATTTTGGACGTCAAGAGTGCAATACCTGACCTTTTATACTAGCTATGATCATTTGAAGAGTGAATAATAGAATATCCAAAACTTCAGCATTTGTTGCTGAAATATTTTATATCATGTTAAAAAACAACATCAAAGATTTTATTGAAGTAAATCAGCATCGTGAACAATTTAGGTAATTTCGATACCCTGCTTCACAGGCCTAAGATATATGTGTCAACACCATCAGACATAAACAACCTAGTCTCTTACCTTGCTGTACTGTGTCAAATTTTCAGATCTCTAGCTTTAACATTATGAAATCTGTATGGAAAAATGTTCAAAAAGCTCCCGGTTGGTGGTCCCCGTCCAGTAAATATTTTATCTTGAGAAAAAAATATAAGATGCAGTCACAAAATATTAAGTCGTGGAAACAAGATTATATACTGAGGCATCAAGATAATGTATTTAGACCACAAGATAAAAGAAATGTGCAAAAAGTCACAATATGTCACCTTACTAATGATTTATACATTTACACACTACATTTAATTATAAATAAAGTGATTGACCTCTGAACCTCATGAACTTCAGACTTTGTATAAAGATGCATTGTAAATTTGATGAGTCCTACCCATTATACTCATTTTCTAGGTGAAAACTTGGTCAGAGTTACAATTACCTTGCTAGCTTTACGATCTTTTACGGTCAACAAATTCGATTGGAAAATTGTACATGTTTATATGCCTGTCTTGCCAATTTTAGATCAAAAGTTCATAGGTCAATATATCATGATCAAGATTATCTATAAATCAAATAGTATTTTTATCTAGAAAATGTTTTGTGATTAACTATCTAGAACTGAGATTAGTTGAACCTGCTTTCCTCGGACAACTCATGACATATTCTTCAGCCTCATAATATTGTACTAAAGAATGTTTTTTTCCACTATTTCGTGCTGCTGTCATCGATAGATTCGTATTTTCTGTTGATCAATAATCGGAAAACATTTAAAGTACAAACAATCAATAAGTTTTACTTATTAGTTAGATGTCAAGAAATTATTGAAATTCACTAAACATTTACAGAAACAGGTATTCTTGTCTTAAACTATGCTGTCGTTACATAATGGAAATATTTAATAGCTGTGATGATACAAATGGTCAGGGAAAAATCATGCAAAACAATAGGCATTATTAAACAAGATCATCATAATTGTATGCAAAGAAAATTATTTTATTGAAATCATGTGTACACATATGAAAATGAATAAATAAATAATTGTCGATACATCCACCGTGCATATCAAGTAAGGCAGGAATGTGCAATTATCTTTAAAGTAACGCAGACTCTGTGCAAACCTATTCACCGTGTATATTTAGTAACGTCGGAATGTTGAAATAACGATTCTTGCAATAAGTAACGCAGAATTGTGCATTAAATTGGGGATACCTGACAGGATTCCCAACGCGGTAAGTTAACTTGCCAATATATATTTTATTTAACCGACTGCGAAGGCATTAATGTTTATCCCTCATGAATATTACGTCCAGGAAATTGTTTCCTTTTCAAGATCATTTGTGAAAATGATGGCTTGACTACCGTTTTAAGCGAGATTTCAGCTTTTAGTCGGCTCTTATAAGTACAAGTATGCATATTATTCCGTATAATTTCGATTTTCGGTAGGCAAGTTACATAAACTTAACTTCTTGTTATACATAAAATTAAAAATAAACTGAAAATTTTTAATTCAAGCCGTTTTTATGAGGTAACGCCGATACGTGAATTGTGCTTCGCGGTAACGTCGGAAAATGTGTAAAATCATTTTTCACGAGTGAAAATGAAAAGTAAACAATTTTGGGGAAATTATCTTGATGAATGATCAAAAGTAATGTCTTTGCAGCCGTATGCAGCTATTCATTTTTTTTCAGTTCGGTTAAATAAAAATATATTGGCCAGTTTACTTACTGCGTTGTAGATCCTGTCAGATATTCGCTATTTATAGCACAATTCTGCGTTACTTATTGCACGAGTTGAGCGTTTTTTTCACATTCCGGCGTTACTGGATATACACGGTGTTATTGCTAAAACGTAAAACACAGTAAGAAAACAAACAAAATATTTTATTCTAAATCAAATTTAAAGAATTGAATTAGCGCATACGGCTGCTACTAGATTACAATTTAAAGCATTACAATATTTTTCAGGAATTTGTTAATTTTCTTACATCATTTGTGGGAAAGACAACCAGAATACTATTTTGAAGTGTCTTTTGTCTTTCGCCAAATAAATATGTATATTCAACATATTTAAAACTTTATGTATTCATATTCTGTATACCAAAGACTTTTGTCAAACTACAAGTGTCGTATACCAATAGAAGGAAGCTGTTAAAATAGGATTTAGCTTCTTTTAATGAGATAACCGCCGTTGCATCAGTGCTTCATTCACGACTTCGTCGTTACCTCGTAAAAATTGTCCCAGTTACTGCTAGATTTAATGTAATATGACACGATTAGATCGGAAAATGTCTTAAGTACACGGTATATAAAAAACCCATAAAGTTTTATGTATGTTATTATATTTAAAGATATCAACGAAACAATACGCTAGTCAGGTCGTCATTTTCACGAATGATCTTGAAAAATAAACATTACCATGGAAATATTGTTGATGAGGTTTAAAGTATAATGTATCAGCAACCGTATGCGTTAACTCATTTCTTCCAATCTGGTACAAATGTATACAATAAAAAATATTGGTCCATTTACTTTTCGAGGTGCTCGTTTTAGCCACTAAATTGCACAATTATGCGACACTTATGCACTATTTCTGTGTTATTTGCACATTCCTACGTTACTGGATAAACACGGTGATATCGTTGTATTGTTCATCCGATATCAATATATCATTAGTGTTTGAATTTGTATTTTTCGTTCAACAATAGGATTGCAGTATTTAAAATGAATCGTAACACATTTACTTTTGTAAATCGGCAAACTGTGAACCAGTCTAGTAAATCGACTGTTTATAAAAAATAATTTAAAACACTACGCCGGTAAAAAATTATCAGTACGTATTTACAAAAATAAATTGGTCGCGCATACTTGGTATGCCTTGCACTGAATCTATGATAGCTGTTTAATATCGTGTGTTTTGCTTCCTTTTCAGGTGGTGAAATGGTCATTCACTTGACAAGTGATTACAATAATGAGTCTTCTGCATTTAGCAATTATGGTAGTGTGTTAACCACCTGTGGTGATCCATTTGACAAGGCGTATGTCAAATTGGAAGAATTTTCGAAGGTTGTAAAGGGCGACAAAAGCTTCAAAAATAATTCCAAAGATACAAAAATGCGGTAGGCCTTCGACATTTAATAGAATTTATTTTAATTGATTTATAATATCAAATCACGGTTCATTGTGCATGAAACAGATATTTACTTTAAATTTTAATGATAAAAGGAAGTCTTGCCATAGTGCACTCAGCTGACGTCTTCCTCTATCAATAAAACTGAGAAATTGACCGTTAGTACAACATGAAACAAAGAAAAAAAGATTTGTTGTATAAATCGCTTAACCAAAGGACTTTCTTTATATATTACAATAATAACTATTCACCTCAATACCTTCATAACGTATTTAGAATTTACGCAGCATAAAGTTCATTAAAAATAAAGGACCAACTCTCCTCTACTTAACAAAAGAAAATTACAAAATTAAAATCCCCTTATTCCATTTCGTTAAACATTATGAGTTTCATAAGGTACAGCCAGTAGTGATCTTGTTGAAAAAGTAGCTTGTAGGCTTGCTTCTATTTCATCATTTTATTGTCGGACATACAAAAACGAGCCTACAAAGAAAATACAAAGGAATTACAAATAATTGATTTACAAAATAATAAAATTATACATTTCATCCAATTCATCAATGGAAAAGAATAAATATGACATTAGAAATATATAAATTCTTACCAGGATCAGCATACAAGAACTTTCCATAAATGATGTTCAAGTTTACTAATAAGTAACTACTTTTATCAACAACTATACTGTAAAGTAAGTTATCAGTTACTCGTATAATGTGGAACTGGCGGAGGGAAATATTTTACTTAAGTAAGAAAATGTTTCGCAGGGATTTTAGGGTCATGCACGTGAAATATTAGTGAACACATTCATACAACCTTTCAACTTACAGTGACCTCTTATACGAAACAGACTATACAAAACTTTACCACAGTTAGGCAAACAAACGACGACACAACAGTTAGGCGAATACCAACCAAATACAACATGACACGGAGGATATAATATACCAGTGATAAACAGAAAACGATACATAGGTTACACATTCACTCCCTTTAAGGAAATGGCTCCTGACATTTCCATAACTCAGTTATATTATAGTTTCAAATAAAAACATCAGGACATAATTATCTTCAATAAATCATATGTGTATAATAATACACAACAATTATGTCTATTTCTTGTCTTTACGAAATGACAAATTTAATAAATTAATTTCTTTAATTGAAATAAGTTCATATATATGATTCAGCTCTATATTCAAATAAATCTATTTACATCTATTACAAAAGATAGACAAAGTTGCATCACATTACACTTGTACTAGTATGCAATAATAAATCCGTCATCCTCTCTAATACTTCAAGATCAACTTCTCCACATACAAACAACAACTTGTTCACATAAGGCAGATGTGGAGACAATTTTTTTTTTTTTTATAAAACTGTATAAACACATGAAAACATATTGATTTGTTCAGACATAGTTCCTAGTAATTTCTAAAATAGAAACATTGATAAATCAGGTTTACTGACCTTAATTTCTGTGAAGAAATAAATTAAGTAAATTCAAAGTTTTACATTATATAATAATATATGATAATCATACAAATACTTCCAAATCTTGGCTAGGATTTGTTACAATAGGGGTAACCCATTCACCGTATCTTTTCGGCGGGACTCTGCGCCTTACAGGACGAGGACTTGGAGGTTAAGGGTCAGGTACTGGAGTGGAGCCAACTTCCTGATCACTTACCAAATTAGTCTCAGTCTCTGATTGCGGTGATAAACCATCAATTCTTGAAAAATGTCAGACAGAATAATGGTCTGCAGAGGGGTCACTCTGAAACGATTCCAGAGCCTTTGAAGATTCTGGGGTCACAGACACAGTATGTTTAGACCTACTTGACTGTTCTTTAGGACGTTTCTGGGGTCTTAGTGGTGGAGTTAGGTATAATGTTTCGGTATTATCTGAATCGGAATCAGTGGAATCCTCGATTTCAGTGGACAGAATATCGGCTATCGACCTGAACTTATTAGGAGTTCTCTTGCGAGAGCTGCTTTCTGGTCTAGGTTTGATACTCTCATGTGCCACAAGTTGAGTGAAAGGACAGGGAAGTAACATATTCCGGTGTAGAGTCTTAATTGGGCCCTTCTTGTTTTCTTGCTGAACTCTATACACGGGAATGTCAGGATTGGGTATAGAAAGGACTATATAAATTTCCTCATCCAACGATCTGACAACTTGTTAGTCCCTTTCACACCAACTTTCGAATCAGTACCTTATCTCCAACATCAAGTCGAGTATGCCTCACTTTCTGATCATATATGGTCTTGTTTTTTGGCAGCCATCCTACCAGCTTTCTTCTGCAGCCCTGCGGTATGCTATCTGCAATCTCCGATGGAGTTTTGATGCATAAGAGGACTGATTCCCTGTGTGCTCTTCTGAAGGATCTGTGCCTAGATAAGCATCTACAGGAAGCCGTGAGTGCCAACCAAACATCAAGAAAGTGAGGGGCATATCCGGTTGCATCATTTTTGGTGGCATTGTATGCCTGAACCAATGGACCTATGTATGCCTTCCAGTCATTCTTCTGAAGGTGTTCAAGGGTTCCAAGCATTTTCAGGAGTGTTTGGTTCCAACGTTCAGCACCTCCATTTCCCATCAAGGGGTTTGTTTTGGGCTTCTTAAAAGCCCGCAAAATTTGAAAAACTCCCTAATTTGGGGCCCAATTTAAAAAATTGCCCACCCTTTGGGCCCTATGCATAATTTCTCCGGGGAAACCCCTTAAATGATTGAAAAAACCCTTCAATTTTGAGTGGGCCCCCTTTGGGACTGCAGCTGGTTTGGGATGGAAAGCCCGTGCGAAACGTGTAAAATGGGCCCCAAAACAAGGATATTTTTAAAACCCTTTTCTGGGCTCCCAAACCCTTTTAAAAGTCTAAAGAAACCCTTCCCTTGGGTTTTGGGAGTATTTGGGTAAAGGTTTTAGTTTTGGGGGAAAGGGTTGAAATGGAAGTCTTAGTTTTTTAAAAATTTTGGCCAAGGTTTTGCATCTCTCACCCCAACTTTAAAAAGTCCTTTTTCCATACCGGCCAGTTTAAAAACCCTTGGTTTTACCAAGCCCCAAAAGTTTTTTTTTTGGACCTGATGCCCGGCATCATTATGAATACCTGTCATGGCGATGTTCCTTTGTGATTCAGGAATGACAAGCTGTTTGACTTGTTGGCCATCCAATGTAGCGGTTCTGTACAGAATATTATTTTGTATGAAAAGCCGATTTGCTTCTCTAATGTACTTCTGTACAGCAGGTTGCTTAATACTGGTATATTTCCCTGGACAGGGAACCGCTACGTAGGAAGTTCATTACAAGACTTAAAGTACTATCATTGGACTGCTCATTAAAACCAATCGATGTTTGCAATTGAATCAGCTACATCAGCCTCTTCAGTGACCATCTGAGGGGCTGCTGCACCTGAAGTACAGTTGATGATAGGAGCAGAAATAATAACAGCTTGGTAGATAGCCTTAAGCTCATCCTGAAAAATATGTCGTCTGGATAGGCCATCAGCATCCATGTTTACCACTACGATATTCCAAAGTAAAGTTGTAGTTGGTTAAGTCTGCAAGCCATCTATGTTGTGTGGCATTTAGTTTAGCTGTAGTAGTCACATAGGTTAAAGTATTGTTGTCAGTTTTGACGACAAATTCATTTCCATATAAATAATCATGGAATTTATCTGTAATGCTCCATTTAAGGGCTAGAAATTCTAGTTCATGGGCAGGGTAGTTACGCTCACTTGGTCTGAGGCTACGACTTGCGTATGCAATTACGCGTTCCTTACCATCTTGTTCCTGTTAAAGGACCGAATCAAGACCATGGGTACTTGCATCCGTGTGCATGATAAAAGGCAAGGAGTAATCAGCATAACATTATATTTGGTGGAGAAACTAACTTTTCCTTAATTAACTCAAAGGCATTTTGTTTGTGCTCCACCCCAGACCCACTTAACTGGTGTTTAAGCCTTTTTTCTTAGACCCTTTTGATCGTTTGTTGTCACCATGACCTTGTAAAAGCTCGTTCAAGGGTTGTTACTATTTGGGTATAGTTTGGGACATATTTACGATAGTACCCTGTAAATCCAAGGAATTGTCTAAGAGTTTTTTATATTAAATAGGGACAGGCCAATCTTGTACAGCTGAAAGCTTATTTGGGTCTGTGGCAATACCATTGGCAGAAACAACATGCCCTAAATATGTAATGAAAATTGAAAAATTCACACCCTTGGAAGGCCCTGGAACGCAAAATTATGATCATGAGTCGTTTAAAATCCAGACTCTAAAAAAAAACCTGGAAATATCTTTCCTCAAAAGTGGGAAGAAAATATTAAAAATTCATCTAAAAAAAATTAAACATTCTTTGAGTGCATATCACCCATAAATTTTTCCATGAAAGCCTTGAAAGGTAGCGGGGGCATTTGTTTAACCAAAATCCCATTTTTTCCACTCATAGAAACCTAAGATTTCCTAAACAGAGAAAGCGTTTAAGGCCCTTACTCACACTTCTGCCTTAAACCAATTTGCCAGTTTATTGCAGGAGAATGAAGGTCTATTTTTAGGAAAAATAATTTGAACGAGGATAAGAACATCAATGTGTTTGTCAAAGCGTGTGTGCGGTAACATGTATGCATCTTTGCGTGTTCTGTTGTTTAACTTACGCCAATCAACATAAAAATCTAAGGGCACAAGAACAACATTTGAGGAAAAAGGCGAATTAGATTCCCTTATAATATTGGCATCTAAAATGTCTTTGATGTGCTGCCTGACCTCCTCCATATAAAGCTGGAGGTATTCTGCGATACGGTTCCTTGAAAGGAGTTTCATCTTCCAATACTATAACGATGTTCAATCAAATCAGTGGTTTGGATTTCTTTAGTAGATGTTACAAAAAATACCCTTCCATTTACAAGAACCTGATAAAATTTTAAAGTTTGTTCTGGTGTTAGATTGGAACAATTAACTGAAAAGTATCCTTGATTGGAGGTTCTGAAGGAAATC